AATATGGACGTTTTCCAAACCGTTATCACTTCGTACCCTGCTAGGTAGGCCGTACGCTTGAACACCATTTACGAAACACTGCAATAACGTGTTAGCTTTGTTGTTATTGAGACATTTTAAGGCAACATAAAGTCGACTAAAACCATCAACACAACCAAAAATTACAAAATTCCAGCGGACAAGCTTGTGATTAGTGTCCACATGCCATAACACGTTCGGGCATTTTACGTTATACACACGTCGATGCAATCTTCCACACTTCCTTCTTTCAACTTCATCTGAATCAACTCTGTGAAGGCTGTCCCGCAATCTCACACGCTGCACCTTGATTCCCTTACCACTGAGAATTTGTTTTAACATATTCTCTCCACATTGAGGGAAATCATGACAAATATTGTTGACTACACGATCAAGATCATCATCTGAAATGTCACTGAATGTCAACTTGCTGAGCCCGAACATTCTCATCATTCTATAAACTGTGCTCTCGGAAACGCTTAAGAGTGACTGTCCGTAAAAATCAAGCAAAATTCAAAATTCATGGCAAACTTTGAAGAATTCCATTTCTCTCATACTTTCAAGTCTGGAAGGGTAATGTTTCCTAAGAACAACTGTATAGTTGGTTTGGTTAAATATCATTGTATTCTGAAGAAATATGCAAATTATCGAACACCGCCGAAAATGCCGTTCGGACGGGTGATTTTTAGCCCCACTTTGGTGGGCTTCTATGGACAATTAGAGCACCCCGCATCAAATATAATTCCTAATCCTAGTTAAATAATCACTTGACTATCATTTAGGCAAGTTTGGGGACAATCACGCGATTTTATACTTTCCAAACAATTTTATTCTCGAAGCCCATATTTTGTATCGATAAAAATGGGTCTTATAAAAAGTCTTATAGAGAATGTGCTCTATCTTTAAATAATTCGAAACTCCGGCGAATGAATGTTGAAATAAAGGTCTTTCATCTGATGGAAAGGAATCTTTGGGCAAATGTTTGTGTGTGACGTTTCAGGCTATCAAACTGTGGTGAAATTGTACTCCTGCGACCTTTCAGGTCAAAAGACACTAGGACGAAATACCGTTTATTTTGATTTATAAGTCGATGAAACGGTTTGAAAAAAGTATAGAAAGTATTAATAATGTAAATTGTGTGCAATCCATACCTGTTTTGATGTAAAAATTGCGTTTTATGATCTTCTCGGCTTGGTTTTATAGATGTAGTCCCCGAGGGCATGTTAACCATGTTTACAAGTTTTAAATTTCAACACAATCGCCACAGGAAGCCCATGATGATCGACATAGATTTTTTAAAAATAAATGGCCGCTGTTTCCTTGCATATACTATTTTTTTGCTTTTATTCAGAACTTTTTCATAGATTTTAAGGGCATGTAATTGATTGACTTTCTACATGTATTTTGGCCCTCCCAACGACGCGCATGGGTATCAGTTCAATAGTCTAACTTAAATGGAGGTTTGCTGTTCATTCAAGTCATTAGTAGGAGGAATCTGTGGTTCTGACAGTCGAGATAGAAAACACGAAGTGCAAGTTGTTCCTCTGACATCATGTACAAAAGATATTGCAAACCATCTAGCATCCTTTTCGTTTTTTGGTCCACAAAACGAGATAGACCTGATATTGTGTCGAGCGGCAATTTTTAAAATGCCAAACTCTTTTGACAACATGACAATATGTCCACAGCATCGTGCAAAACTTGGATTGGGATGGACAAGGGGATCAACTAGATGTAGAATACCAGCTGCGTTATCTAACCACGGGAAAGAAAGTAGAAAAATATGGCCAAAGGGAGACAGGGGACTTGGGAAACAAGATTCTGGAACAGTACTACAAAAGACTGGTGTGTTTATTCAAGCTGGTTCCGGTAATTGTTTGTATTATTATTGTTTGTATTAGTTGGGTGCGTCAGTTCATTCATTTCATGTGCATATGTTTTGTTTACTTTACTAGGAATATGCAGGACATGCCGAGATAAAATGAAGACGATTAGACCAACTATTCCCACCACAGCACTTGCGAAGTTGGAAGCACAACTAAAGACAGCAACATTACAGGTAGTATATAGGTTATGGTGTTAAAACCTAATGAGGTTTTTCCTTCGCCATGGAAAGCAAATTAAATCAAACACTGTGGCACATTGCCAATTAAAGGGTTGAAAGGAATGCAGCATTGGCAGACTGCTTGGTTAGCCCATTGAGGGACACTCACTAGCCTCTCCCCTGGAAGAGTAAAATCGTCTGGTGATAGAGAGAATAAAATAATATTAGATGTAGGGCATATCAGGGGGCATGGTCACTTACATGATTAAAATTAATTTGTAGGATGACTCTCCTGAAAATCCATTCAAAGCCCTGCAGCATCAACATATCCCAGTTACCCCAATGAGCACTGTGCCGTCAACGCTATTCTCACCTTCTGCTATATCCCAAGCCTTCGACCTGTCAATGACCAGCGAATATGATGAGGAACCATCTACATCTACTCCAAAGGGTAAGCTAAACTGCTTTCTTGCTGCAAGAGATGTAAGTCCAATTCGAACCTCAATGATGACACCATGGGAAGAAGCTGCAGGACGAACCAAGAGGCACTATTTACGGAAAGCCAGACAGGTTGTCTTCGCTACCCTTGAAGAAATTGCACCCAATAATTCTGAGATGCTGTTCAGAGCAATAAAAGAAAGGCAACTAGATGAAAATGATGACACGGATTGCATGCTGTTAGAAGCTTTAACAGCATGCTACGAGAATGCCAGCCATTGGAGCAGTCGCAGACAAATTCTCTCCATCTTTGCCGATAAGGTCAGCTTCAAAACTGTTCAACAATGGATTCCAGATATAACTCGCTATCGATATAGCATTGCAAGACACCACCTGTTGCTACATGGCAGAGGCGCTGACATTTCTCCCCAGAAACACGTCAGAATTAAAGTACCTCCAGAGAAGCTCGACCACTTTTTGGCTTTCATTACCAGTGCAAGGGTAATACAAGATTTGCCCTTTGGGGAGAAAACCTTAAAGCTCTCTACCACTGAAATAAAGATCCCAAACGTCATAAGAAACTCCATACCAGAACAGATAATTCAGCAGTATCAGAGCTACTGTGCGGAGACCGGATTTAGTTCCCCTTTGAGGCGTAGTAGCCTTTGCAGGATACTAGACGTTTGTTCTGCATCTACCCGCACCTCCTTCAAGGCCTCGACTACTTCTCAGCAGAAGGTGGCAAAGCATTTGATGACATGGTTACAGTCGTAGATAAGCTAGGTGACGTCTATGAACTTGGTCTGACATGGTCCAAGGAGCAGATTAGAAAGCTGAAACTGGCAAAGCGTTACTTTAAAAGTGATTACAAGGTCAGTGACCTTTTAAAGAATTTTTTATTAGACGAAATGCCTTGAGAAAATGATTACATGTTTCGTTTCGTTCCTTTTCTTTTCTTTTCTTTCTCCCAATCAAGTTAATGAAAAATGAACTTAGATGTCCTTAACAATGGGCGCCGCGTCCTAGCGCTTTCATCAAAATGCCGTAGTTTATGTACGATGAATTGTTATAGCTGATACATTAATTATGTGATGTTTGTGTTTTTTTCAGGTTCATGTGTCATCAACTTCAAGGGTCCCTGATCATTGTAGACCTTATGCCCTCAGTCTTGCTAACGATTCCAATTTTACCACCACGTGTAATCATCAGCATGATCTAGTTTGTGATAGGTGCAACCTGTTTCCTGCTGTTGTCCAAGAATTAGAGTTACAGGTGGAAAAGGCTAGGATTCCTCATGAAGACAAAGAAGAAATGAAGTTTGTGGTGGCGCAGTCAAAGAAGAACATAGAAGCCTGGAAAGCACACATATTACGCTTCATCAATCAAGATGAGGCCCGCCTTGACATCCTGAAAGCAGTAGATGACAGCTCTGTATTGGTGGTGCTAGATTGGGCAATGAAGTTCATCCCAAGAAAGTACAGAGAGAGCCAGGCGGACTGGTTTGGTAAGAGAGGCCTCTCCTGGCACATTAGTGTGGCAATGAAAAAGCCTCCTGGAAAAACCTTGCAGACGCTGACTCTTGTCCACGTGTTTCAGAAAAGTAACCAAGACAGCCTGTATGTGTTGGCCGTCATCGATGATGTAATCGAAAAGCTAAAGACTGCAATACCTGGGTTGAAATCTGTGAGCTTCAGACAGGACAACGCTGGTTGCTACCACAGCGCTGCTACCATACTTGGGATACATCAACTCGCCGTAAAGCACAATGTGTGCGTGCGAATGGATTTTTCTGATCCTCAAGGCGGGAAGGGACCATGTGATCGCAAAGCTGCTTCTATAAAGAATCATATGCGTTCATACCTCAACTCTGGCCATGACATCTCGTCTGCACAAGACATGAAATCAGCTATAGAGTCCAATGGCGGTGTACGTGGTGTTGCGACTATACTGTGTGGTCCTCTAACCATCCCTGACCCTAGTCCTTTTCCAAAATGGGAAGGTGTTAGCCTTATCAATGACATCCAATTCAAGACCGAGGAGATGAAGGTTTGGAGAGCTTATGACGTTGGACATGGTAAAAGCGTTCCCTATAGCAATTTCACTCAAACGAAGAAGACTGAACTTCCATCGCTTACCAAGATTACCGATGTCCCCAGCACTAATCTTGTATTCTGTGAAGTCACGCCAAGGAAATGTCATGTCGCCAAAGACAAAGACACGAAGACATCCGCCGACGACGACAGCAGCGACGCAGACGAGGATACGCTTTTCACCTGTCCAGAAGATGGATGTGTGAAAACCTTCCAACGGTTTTCATCCCTCCAGAAGCATCTGGATGGAGGCAGGCACAAGTACGCCCTCGAGAGGGAGTCATTCCTTGATAAAGCAATGCTACGCTATGCTGAAAATCTAGAAAGTGGGGCTGCATCCATAGTAGGGCAAGTCGAGGAGATTGCTGAAGAATCAAAGGTACCTTCGATAAAGATGGGATGGGCGCTAAAACGTGTTTCCACAAGTCGACACCGTTTCAATGAGAAGCAAAAAAAGTACCTCATCGACATATTTCTTCTTGGCGAGCAGACAGGGCAAAAAGCAGATGCTAGTGATGTCTCAAAATCGATGAGAAAAGCGCGCAATGCAGATGGTTCTCTTCTTTTCCTGTCTAATGAATACCTGACATCACAGCAGATTACCAGCTTCTTTTCCCGTACAGCCGCCAAGAAATCGATTCAAGTTACATCAGCTTCGAATCTTGACCTCGATGATGACGATGACCTTGATGACTTGGTCTCCGCCATGGCAGAGAAAGAGCTTCAGCAAATGCGTGAAGAAATATTGAATGATATTTCTATCCAACACCCAATCACATACGAATCCTATAACATATGCGAAATGGCCACCGCGTCCAAGCTTTCAAAGTTTTCTATAGCAATGTTACAGGAAATCTGCAAGCACTACGAACTTGACACTTCAAGTATAAAGCAGAAAAGGAAGCAGCCATACATAGACTTGCTGGACGAATTGGTAGAGTCGTGCACATGTTAAATTATTACTATTTTGAATTTTTTAAGATTGTTTACCACTTCTTTATCATGACATGTTAAGTTAATGAAAATGGTCGCACCATTAAAGTGAATTAAAAAGACATGCACAATAAAGTAAAACAGCCGGATCACAGGTTATGTACACTATTACAGTAAATACATGAATGTACAATAACGGCTTATAATTGTTGACCACAAAGAGAAAGTATTAAACAAATCACACAAAAATTTTAAATTAGAAATTCATATAAAGTCTCTTTTCATTCCAAATATGGCGATATTAAGAATGTAACAAATTTAGGTTGGGCTGGTGGTTGGGGTGACGGGCTGGGATTAGGGAAAATGTCGGCATATATTTCGTGAAGACAAGATAAAGTACATACCTCTGTGGAGGATCGCGGGCTCGGCGCTTGCGGTGATGGCGATCATTTGTGTTCTCGATTGTTTTGAAAACTTGCAACAGTATATAAAGCCCAGAAGATCCATAAAATGCAACTTTAGCAAGTAAACAGGTATGGATTGCATAAAACTTACATTCGTTTACATTTTATTTTTCGTTTGAACCTGTTTCATTGATTTGCAATTCAAAATAAACATGTATTACGTGCTTTGACCTCAAAGGTCATAGGACTGACAGGAGTACAATTTCATCACAGTTTGATAGCCTGAAACGTCACACACAGGTATTTGCCCAAAGATTCCTTTGCATCCGTTCAAAGACCTTTATTGCAACATTCATTCGCCGGAGTTTCGAATGATTTAAAGATAGAGCACATTCGCTGCAAGACTTTTTATAAGACACATTTTTATCGATACAAAATATGGGCATCGAGAATAAAATTGTTTGGAAAGTATAGAATTGCATTATTGACCCCATACTTGGGAAAATGATAGTCAAATGATTATTTAACAAGAATTTGGAGTTATATTTGATGTGGAGTGCTCTAATTGTCCATACAAGCCCACCAAATTGAAGCCAAAAATCATCTGTCGAAGAGGCATTTTCGGCGGTGTTCGATAATTTGCATATTTCTCCAAAATACTTTGATATTTAACCAAACCAACTATACTGTGGTTCTTAGGAAACATTACCCTTCCGGACTTGAAAGTATGAGGGATATCGATTTTTCAAAGTTTGCCACCACTTGTTTGATTTTTAGAGATATCTACTCTTAAGTTCTGAAACAATGGCTCAGTGTGTTCAAGATACGATTTAAAACTTATCAATCTGATAATTTTTTTCTGTATATTCTGTATTTTCTGTAGCCTTGTTGGGTACGTATTACCCCATACTAGATTCCCATAAGTAAGATATGGATAAACCAATGCATAATAAATCAACTTAAGTGTATTTTTATTTGTGTAATGTCGTAGTTTTGCTATAAGTGCCGCAGATTTAATTATATGTTTAGCAACCGAATTTATATGGTTTTTCCATGTTTATTCACAATCTAAAATTACACCTAAAAATTTGATATGAGAAGCCTGTTGTATAATGTTATCATTAAGTTTAATATCGATTTCAATGTCGCATTTTTTATTTCTTGATTTAAAAATTATATACTTAGTTTTTGTTGTATTTATAGATAATTTATTCACGTTTAGCCATTTAATTACTTCATTCATTTCTTCTTGCATAACATGTGTTAATGATTTTAAGCATTTGTCAGAGTGAAATGCATTAGTGTCATCAGCATACATAACAAAGGATATAATTTTACTACAGTTTTCAATATCGTTAATATATAACAGGAAAAGTAGTGGCCCAAGAATAGAGCCTTGCGGAACTCCTGTAGATATAATCAATTTGTTTGATTTATGATGACCAAATTTAACAATTTGCATTCTTTCATGTAGGTAGCTTTCAAACCATTTTAGGCAATTTCCTCTTATGCCATAATGTTCAAGTTTTTTTAGGAGAATATCGTGGTTAACTGTATCAAAAGCCTTAGATAGATCAAGGAAAATACCAATTGTATATTTACCATCATCTATAGCTTTTGAAATTTTGTCAGTAGGATAGGAATGCAACATAAAGTCAGTTGCATAAGGAGCAACCGACTTTATGTTTTCGGTTGGTTGATAAACAACTTGATGGCCATGAAAACTTTCTCGGATTTTACAATATACCAAACATCGCATCTGAAACCATTGTCCAGGCAATCAAAGATAGCCTCATTCAAATGCAGTTGTCTTTGTCCCAGTGCAAGGGGCAGTGCTACGATGGTGCCAGCAACATGCTTGGTAAAAAATCTGGTGTGGCAAAACAAATTTAGGAGTGTGAAGCAAAGGCCCTTCCCACACATTGTCACGGTCACTCCCTGAGCTTAGGCGTAAAGGATGCAACAACTAATTGCCAGATTTTATCTAACACCATGAATAATACGAATGAGATTGTTAAACTCGTAAAGTATTCTCCCAAACGAGAAAATTTACTTGGAGAGCTGAAGGAAAACCTTCAATACAAGGACGAGGAGGAAGAAGACGCGGCGGCTGCTGCTGGACTTACAAAATTCAGTGCAACTAGGTGGACGGTTCGAGCAATCTGTTTTGAGAGAGTAATTGATAATTATAACGTTATTTTAAAGCTGTGGGACGAGTGCCTCAAGACAAAACTTCCACCAGATATTCGTGGACGAATCATAGGATGTAGCACCCAAATGGAGTTTTTTTACTTCTATTTTGGATTACATCTTGGCGTGACAATTTTTAGGCACACGGACAATTTGTCAGCAACTTTACAAAAGGCAAATATGTCATCGATTTCCGGCCAACATAATACAAGCAACATAATACCAGGGAATACGAAATGAAGAATGTTTCAAGTCTTTCTTCCAAACCATTTTGAAAAAGAAAGAGGCCTTGAAAGATATTTCGGAACCCATAGTACCAAGAAAGGGAAAGGCATCTGCAAGATATAAAGTGGGAGAAGGAGAACCTTGGTACCCTGAAACGTCGGAAGATTTGTACAGAAAAATCTACTATGAAGCTCTTGATCTGATTGTATCGGCCATCAATGAACGTTTTGACCAGCCCATTTTTAAAGCTTATGCAAAATTAGAAGCACTTCTTCTAAAATCTTTGAAATCAGAAGACATTTCTTATGAAATGGCCTTTGTAAAGGAGGTTTACCATCAGGATATAAAAGTAGAGTTTCCTATCCCACAATTGGAAATTTTCGAAGTATTAATGAAGGAGAAAAAACTAGAATATTTTGCTGAGGTCTTAGACGCTGTGAAAAATTTGGATCACAATACCCAGCAAATGATCAATGAAGTACTCACCATATGTAAACTCCTATTGGTTAATCCGGCAACCAGCGCAACTGGTGAAAGATCATTTTCAACCGCACGACGAATAAAAACATGGCTTAGAGCAAATATGTCCCAGAGGAGATTCAGTCATCTGGCGATATTAAATACCCACAAAATACGAAGTGACAATATACGGTTATTGGACGTAGCCAATGTATTCGTGTCCAAGAATGACAACAGAAAACGTAACTTTGGTTCATTTACGGAGCAGGATCTCTGTTACAATCTCAACAATAATCTTTAATTAAAGAAATCCAGTAGAATTAGTCAGACTTTTGGACTATAATTCCTTTGGACTATCAGACTTTTTAAAAACGTTACGTTATTCCTTGTTTCTTTCCATTTATTATTTTCTTCTTATGTATTAGTAGGCTCACACTTTCCAGAAAAACATTTCTGAGAAAAGTAAGGACGATAAGTATGGAATATGCAATTTAAATTACGCTTAAATAAGGCATTAAATTTCGACGAAAAAATCTATTCAAGGAAAATGTACTAAGGGAATAAATTTTACTCTTATATAATGCCTTGCTTAAGAGTCATTCAAGAAACTTTTTAAGAGAAACTAGCAGGTTTTATTGCATTTCTGGGGCTCTGAGAGGTCTCAGATTTCAAAATTTCCCGGGGGAGCATGCCCCCGGACCTCCGACCAGCTATTTACACCCGGGTGTTTGAAAACATAGCGAAGTGCAAAGTTGTCCTCCATTATGTGAATGACGGTCTTCGACGTTATTGCGCATGCACGTGTTTTTCATTTTGCAAGCACGCGGGCTAATTTTGCAAAGATGTATTTTGCTATTTTACAATATATTGTGGCGATGTATTTCGCTATTTAACTGGAAACAAGCCTGCAGTTTCATGAATTAGTGGCTGTCAACCGTGAAACAAAGTGTGAAAGGCATGCATAAACTGATAAACACGAATTTTGTTGAAGACGAACCAGATGTTTTCAATATAAAATTTAATCGTTGTCTTGACTCTTGGCTATTTTGGGTAAGTGTTATAAACATTTCAGTATTAAAATTTCATACTGTACTTGCTTTGTGTTTTCGATTTCATTCATATTGGCGATATGAATGAAATGAATTTTATGCCATTCAACTCAATAAATAATATATTTTCATTGCAAGCTGGTATTTGCATGAAAATGTATAAATGTAGTGATTTTAAATATTGTTTATTTGGGGCAATTAATACAGCGTATAGTGTTTTTATGCGTGTTTATAATGGTCTTTTTCCTACAGCAAATATGGCTTCACCAAAATATAACTCAAAAACTAGCTTTTGTTTATATAAAGCAAATATATTTTACCGTATTTTCGAGCAAACTACTGACTATACTGTCAACAAAACGAGTGTTTCAGCTTCCCCTGCAGTTCCACGGCAAAGTGTCGAAACGCTTTACCGTTACATTTTACATTAACTTTTAGCCGATTGAAAGCCACATAACATAAAACTACATTCCTTTTAATAACAAATTATGAAAATCAACGATTCTTTTGGTAAAAAATTATCTCCTATTATTTTCTCATATTATTTTCATGTTACCATAGCGACTATTATTATTTTGAACATGGAGTACATACTTCATGTTGAATGGAATTTCTATACTTCATCTGTTAAAAAAGGCGAGGGTTTACTGCATGCATGTATTTCTAGTTGGAGATTTGTATTGCAGAATGGCCATTTGGCTGAATAATTCGACTATTTTTCGTAAACGAACGATTCAAATTACAAATCACGGCCGCTGGTTGTAAATTGAAGGTTAGTGAATACATTTCTGTTGGTTATGAGCTATTAAAGAATTGCTAAATGCGAAATGTTATGAAAGTACCGGAAGTTATATATATCACATCGTTCTGAAGGCGTAGCATTTGCTTCATTGTGATTGGTTTGCAATTGGTAAAATGCTACTGTTTGCAATAGTCGCATCGACTTCAGAACGATGCTGGCTTGTTATTGTCGTGTCTGCTACGATTGCTTAAATTTGTTATGTGCATGGTTGACAAATGCTTTTTGCCTATGGTCTGCTTAAATTTGTTATGTGCATGGTTGACAAATGCTTTTTGCCTATGGTCTGCAAGGACAATGACATGCTTTTCTGTGTATATACATGTAAATGAATATAACGCAGCGAATGCGCCAAACAGTATAAACGCAGCTGAAATACGATATTAAAATCTTAAATGTGCCGTATGATTTAA